CCCCAAAACCCCAAAACCCCAAAACCCCTCTTATTTAGCAAAATATTGTATTAATTAATAAAATGGAGCAGTATCCGCCAACACTTGATGTGAGGTTTACCAAGGACCATATCATGGAAGTCGTCAAGGATAAATACCAACTGAATGCATACCTGCTCGGGCAGATCTTTTCTGTGACTAAAGATCCCGGAACCCAGCCTGAGAGCTCTGATTCAGACACAAGTTCTGAGGAGAACTACTCTCTTTTTGAGAGTTCTGATGAAGACAGTGATCAAGAAAGAGTTAATGAGGAGGCAAAGGTCTCAAGGAACACCAAATCAGAGTCTCTAGATAGAGAAAGTAGGAATTATCAGTATCAAAGGAGCCAGTACCAGGCTAACATGAGTGTTACTAGAAGCGCCCTTGCAAAAGAAGCCACTGAGATTCGAAACAAGGAGATCGAATCTCGGGAGCAATACAATTGCTCACAGAGAAAGCAGAATTCTGACTCCCAGAATGGAAGCTGAGACCAAGACAGAGATAAATTAAAGAAATATGAAAAGTCTTTGGATTTAGACTTGATCAAGCAAAATTCAGAGCTAAATGAAGTCTACAAATATTACCTGGTAAGCTCAGCCAATGATCTGTAGGAACTCAAGAATGAACTCAAGGAGAATGAAAAGAAAGAAGAGGCCCAAATTAAAGACTTTAAAAAGCTTGGAAAAGGCTTTAGACACCTCATGAAAGATATCAAGCAAGGCTCTTCAAAAGACGACCTTGATTATAAAGACATTTACCAAAGAGTATTAAACCTTGGAATTTTCCCAGAAGGCAATCCTGAGTTAAACGACTGGTGCAGAGAGATGAATGATGAGCTTAAGGAAGAACTTGAGCAGCCATATTGTTACTCTGAGAGTGAAGAGCTCTGGACTAAAGAGGAAGAAGCAGAGTTGAAAGTCTTGAAGTTATAATTCAATCTATATCAATAATCTTGGGGTTTTGGGGTTTTGGGGTTTTGGGGG